GGGAGGGGGGTGAGTATATACATACATAATGAGTGAGATGTGCACCATCTGGGGGATGGTCATGATGGAGACTCAGACTTTTGGGGGGAGGGGGGGAAATGGGCATTTATTGAAACCTTAAAATCTGTACCCCCATAATATGCCAAAATAAAAAAAAAATTAAAAAAAAAATGAGGTGATATATAAAAAATGCTTACAATATTGCCTGGCAAGTGATAAGTGCTGCTAGCTGTTAATATTTTGTAAATTTAGGCTAGAGGAGAGAGGTTTCACACAGTGCCTCACATCTGGAATGGGCTGGAATTTGAAGCTAATTTTGTGGGGAAGGGCCTCAGCTACTTAGCGTGTGAAGGAGCACCTGCACCAGACACTCTATTGCTGGTCTGCGTGTGGTATAGACTTGCGTTCTGAATTAATCCTGCTGTTGCCTTATGCTGGCGTGGCCATACTTTGGTTAGGTCTGAGAGACTATACTTACATAGACACTTACATTAGCATTTCTTTCCATTACTTGCTGTCTCGAGACCCTTTTTCCTTAGGATCAATCCATGTCTCAAATTGGATGCTCTGCCTATTTTATTTGCTCTCTTTCTGCTGTGACCCTTTCCTCAGCAGGGGAGTCTACCCTGGCTGGCTCCACTAGCCGCAGCAGTGAGATACACGTGGGAATTTAGGTGCAGGCTGCTTTCCCTGAGATGCGTGCTTTAAGCCAAGGGCTTAAAGATTTGGTTTTTGGTGGGAAGGGTGTGGATGACCCTTGAGTTGTGCTTTTTGGTCTGTGGCAGAAGGTGCCATATCCTTATGAAGGTGAACTTCATTTAACACAGCAGGGCACACTCAGGGTTTCGGTGAGTCCAGGTTGTAATTTCAACATGCACCTAGCTCCGTCCCTTACATGCGTAGCTCCTGTAACGTGCCTGGTCAAAATCAGAGTCTCTTCTCAGAAGGTTTGGGAGTATATTACTCTGTGTAAAAGGTGTTATCATAATATAGATTTATGCTAGTACTCTAATAAACACCGAAGAGACACTCTATGCAACAGATTGTTTAAAGGAGCCACAAGGCACACAAGTATAGCCAAGCTAGTTTCTTAATCATGAATCTGGCACTGTAAGCAGGCTTTTGACATAGCAAGACCCATAAAAGGAATTGGCTCTTGCAATCCAAGATTTGATGTCTTTGGAACGTCTGTTCTACGTCCAAGTTACTGACCTGAGAAAAGGTAGTGATCCAGGACGGGTGTTCACTTGGCGGACTGCTGCGTCAGCTCCTCTCATCCTGCCCCGTCCTGCCCCCCTCCTGGAGCTCTGCGGGTATTCCCAGCACCACGGAGCCTGCAACTGCGGGCTCCCGCTTTCCTGCTCTGCTCCCAGCTTTTAGAGTTCCTGCCTCCTCACTTGTCACTCACACTGAGGTCTTAAAGATTTGAAAAGTGAAGAGTGGTTTCTTTTCATTAAAAAAGGTGACGGCTTCTCAGGTCCTAGTAAATCTGTTTCTAGTGCTAGTGTCCTGCTCTGTCCCCAGGCTGGAACGGAGGACACTGACTGATAGGTGACTCTGACACCTCCCAGTGCAGCCCCTTCATCCAGCTGCTGGGCAGGCGCCATGCTTGTTTGTCACGTTTGCTACTGGGCACCTCAAGTCCTGAACGTGCGAGACTCAGGACAGGAAATGTTTGCTGGTGTGGACATGGCCATGGAAGTCCTGTCAGCCAGAGATCCCAGGCTGAGGAGGCCCGTGTAAGCGTGATAGGCCGTCTGGTGCAGCCCCGTTGAGAGGGACCCTTAGCTATGTTCCCGTCTTTGCCTTTCCAGAAGGGATTTATTTTCTGCCATTCCTGACCACCTCTGTCAGCATCTGCATCTTGTAATGTTTGACTCTGCGGCAGGTCAGCTGGTGTCATTCCTGAACAGGTGCCAAGACCGCAGTGGTGGGAGGGCCGTGGGGAACACCTAAGTATCTATGATCTTAGTTGAGAGTTTTTTTTTTTTGAGACAGAGTCTCACTTTGTTGCCCAGCCTAGAGTGAGTGTCATGGCGTTAGCCTAGCTCACAGCAACCTCAATCTCCTGGGCTCAAGTGATCCTCCTGCCTCAGCCTCCCTAGTAGCTGGGACTACAGGCATGCACCATCATGCCCGGCTAATTTTTTCTATATATATTTTTAGTTGGTCAATTAATTCCTTTCTATTTTTGGTAGAGACGGGGTCTCACTCAGGCTGGTTTCGAACTCCTGACCTCAAGCAATCCGCCCGCCTCGGCCTCCTAGAGTGCTAGGATTACAGGCGTGAACCTCTGCGCCCAGCCCTTAGTTGAGAGTTTAACCTCCTGTTTAATCTTTCTTTTCATGATCCTTGGGTAACTGAAGATCATCTACTTTTCAAATATAATCAAAGTATGCCCTAATTTACTAAAAGGCACCCCCCAAAATATGAATAGGTCAACTTCTCATTAGGCCTCCTGGGTAGAAACAAGGCTTTTTGTACTAAAAATCATCTGGTCAAAACTTCCTTTTTACAAAATGAGGGAACCATCACCCAGAGAAGTGAGATGACTTACTCTAGGGGACATGGCTTGTTGGTGACATAGCTGGGAGGTAAACTCTGGCTTCTTGACTTCCAGATTTTCTATGATACCATACTGGGCCACCAACCAATCAGTCAGCGAGTAATGGAGACCCAGTTATGCAGCTGGGGTTCTCCAATAGGCACCTCCCCTTTCCTCTACCCCACGGTACAAGTTAAGCAGAGAGCGTCGCACCTGAGCAGCCTTCTTACTCAGCTCGACGGCAATATCTGAGGCCGAGTTTCCTATTCCAATCACCAGGATTCGTTTCCCCTCAAATCCACCTGGGTGCTTGTATTGGCGGCTATGGAAATATTGGCCTTTGAACCTCTCAATACCTGGAGGGAGAAGAGGAGAGAAAACTATGAACGTCTGAGCAGCTATGTCAAGCTAATGTAAATAAGACTGCATTTTCAGCTTTTCCTCTCCGGAGTCAATCATTTGTTTTGCCTCTTCCCCTCTTATAAAAGTCACAGTAGCAAGGCCAATTGGCAAACTCAAAGTGTAAAGCAAATAAGAAAGGTTAGGTACTGTGCATATAGAACAGGACCAAAGGAGTTGATTTCGGAGGCTGCAGCTCGTATATTTATCAGAGACAGACAAATGGTGATGAATACAGCAGAGTCACATGCTGGCTTCTGACTACCCATGACACTATTATGGACTGCACGATGACACCTTTAATGTCACATGGCAGATACTCTTTTTAATATTTCTTAACTACTTCATGAAGTGCTATTCTTGTATAATAATTAGAATAATATCTAGCATTCTTATTTTGCAAAAGCAAACAAAAACTAAAATAAACTAAAAACCAGACATATAGAAGCGGAGAGATGGTTTCCATGTTGCAGTAAGTAAGTGACTTGCTGGTGGTTAATTGCAGACAAGCCTGTCTGTGTCCTTTCCTAGTTACTACTAGTTACTACTTTTACATTTCCCGGGAACACATGCCTTTATATTCAAGTGTTTGCCATTGATGGTGCAGTTGCTTGAAAGAGTCTTTAAATGATCGGTTCTTAAAGTGTGGTTCCTTGGCCAGCAACATCAGCATCATCTAGAAACTTGTTAGAAATGAAAATTTTCAGCCTCATGCCAGACCTGCTCTCTTAGTCCATTTTCTATTGCTTTTAATAGAAAATCTGAAACTGGGTGTTTTATAAGGAAAGGAATGTATTTCTTACAGTTATGGAAGCTGAGAAGTCCCAGGTCGAAAGGCTGCATCTGGTGAGACTTCTTGCTGGTGGGGATGCCCCGAGGGCTCCCGAGGCCATGCAGGGCATCACTCGGTGAGGGGGCTGATGCTCTAACGTGCTATGCTCCGGTCTCTCTTCTTTTCTTATAAAACTTCCAGTTCCACTCCCAGATAACTCATTAATCCATCAACCCTTTAATCTATCAATCCTTGAATGGATTAATCCATTCATTAGCGTGGGACTTTTATGACCCAATCGCCTCTTAAAGGCCCTACCTCTCCATTCTGCCACACTGGGGATTAATTTCACCATGAATTTCGGAGGGGACATTCAAAGCATAATACCTGCTAAATCAGAAATACAGCGGCTGGGGCCCAGCAGTTTGTGTTTTGAAAGGCTCTCTCTGGGTGATTCTATCTGGGAACCACTGCTTTAGATTAGCAGGTCTCAAGCCTGACTGTATATTAAAATCACCTGAGCACACTTTATTGATCTAGCCCTACCCCACAGCATTTGAATCCTGGAGGCTGGGGCCCCAGGCACCCGGACTTCCGAAGCTCCAGAGGGGATTGCATTGGGAGGCCTGCATCAGTCGCTTTCCTGAAGGCCTTGGGAAGGAAGTGTGTTCTCTGCAGGAAGGGCTGGGAGGCTCCAGAATAGATGGATGCAAGGTTCTTCTCTTGTACTGCTCTCCCCACCACTAACCTGCAGGAGCATTTCTTTCTAGGAACCCCTGTCCATGAGCGTGTCTCTAAGGAAAAGGCTTAGGATGCAAAAAAGTCACAGGTGTTTGTCAGGATAGAAAAAGGCCAAGGCAGGCACATGGCTAAAAGGGCCTCTCCAACAGAGAACCAGCTTGGACGAGAATTCTCTGAAATTCTGGGGAAGACTTAGTGACCTCGGAGGATGTTAGTTGAGCTTTCGGCATAATGAAGACCCAAAGAGGTCAACAGAAACAAAAATGGTGTTTGGAGTCTTTCATCTTTCCAGCCCTCTCCCAAGCCTAATATTATGCCCAGTTGCAGCAGTGAATCCTGCCTGTCAATCCAAACTGCATGTAAAGGACCTGGAAACCTACTCCAAAAAGCCGGGAATGCACACAGGTCTCACCTGGAAATGACTTCAGTGGGATGTGAGGTAGGATGTGGTGGCCACTGCAAACCATAACTGCGTCAAAGATGGCACTTTGCTCCTTGCCGTGGCTCTGGGTAACAACCTTCCATTGGCCAGAGGATGAAAAATCTGGGCATTTTTTCACACTAATGACCGTTGTCTTGAACAAACACAGAGAAGGCATCATTGAGAATTATTCTGGCATAACAGGGGCCTTGTTTGGGGCGCTGCAGTAGGGATGGGCAGAATGTGATGAATAACTCCATCTAGGTTTCATCTGAGTCTGATTTCAAGCCACTCAGGGCAAAGACTGCCAAGGGTGCCTTTCTCATGGCTGCTTTGTGCACCTGCCTCACTAGGGGGACCAGTCTGTAAAGAGCGTCAAGTACTGAATCAGAACTTGAGAGATAAAAGAAAAGGAAGGGAAGGTCTTGTGAAAGTTGTCAAAATAAAAATGAAGTCCCTAATGTTAAGAAAACCCTGACCAATAGAGCCAGGGAAGGCCAGGAAGAGAGGGGTCTCACACTTAGATGCCTGATAACAAAATAGACTATAAAAACCACAATCTTGCACAAAAAGCAATGGCAACCTTGCACAAAAAATACTTCTGCAAGAAAATCTGCCCAGCTACTGCCTATCTAATCCCAGACTGCCATTTCCCTTGTTATTGATCTTTATAGCCAAATATAATTATATCAAAATGATTATATAATCCTCCTCATTTTTGTCCTTTAAAAACCTTTATCTTCTTTTTTTCTCCCTGAATACACACATGGCTTATTATGGCATGTGTATTCCCATTACAATGCCTTATTCCCAAATAAATACTTTTTCTTTTAGATGGCCTCTGATTGTTATTTAGGTTGACAGTCTGGACAAGGATACAAAACACAACTAATCGTTTAAGTGACCAGTCAGCATTTACCAATAACCTTTTATGTGTCCATCTCTGTGTAGACTCTGTAGCTGAGAAGGTATTTCACGTGAAGCACTTGGCAGAGTGCCTGGCACATGGCCAGTACTCCATCGAACGGTAGTTGTTAATGTTCATTATTTTTAAAACAGAGTACATCATGTTAGCAATACAGTTCATGATCTCATTTGGATGAAATCATTTATTGTTTCATTGATTTTTAAAAATGTGGTTCACTGGAGGTCTATTAATTTTTAAAAGTGTACATAAATGTTTCATGTTGCTGTATATAAGAAACAATGTAAAATGGAGGCAAACTTTGTCACACTTTTAGAAAATTGACATGCTTCTCCTTTGCAAGTATTTGAGTCTTTTCTACATGCTTCAAAATTTTCAGATAGTTTTCAAAATGCTGGTAATTTTTGATGCTGTCTTAACTTAAAAATGTATATATGGGATATTAGTAGAAAGCTTGTGAAACGGCTTTAGAATGTCTGGGCAATTTTCTGCTGAGAGTAAACATTTCGGATTTGTAGTTCAGAGTAGTATATTTACTAAAGTGCTATAGATTTCGCACTGAAATGTGATTTGAGGACCAGGACCTTCAGTATCCCCAGGGAGCTTGTTAGAAATGCAAAAATCTCAGACCTCATCCTGTACCTGTTAAACCAGAACCCACAATTTAACAAGATCTCCAGGGGATTCATGTGCACATTAAAGGGTGAGACGCACTGATGTAGACTGCATTGGCAATCAGGAGCAACAAGGCATTTTACAGTTTGCTTGCTTCCCGAGTTGAGCCCTAACATCTATAAGTTATACCAACTCAGAAACCAATAAACAGAAATGTCTTCCCACCTCCTCTCTACCCTCCAGAAAACATTAACAGCAGTTACACAATAACCAAGAGAAATAACTCCCTTGTAACTCTAACACGATCTTTAAAAAAACAGATAATATAAATTATGTATAATAAGAGGGCAATATATTTGTTAAGTAGATTGATAGCCAAGTGGACAAAGCTACAAATGCTTCTGGTATAAATAATCTGTTAATCATAGGATAGATCTACCAGGAACTGGGGAAAACTGCATTAGGTAGAGAACTGGACATTGTAATGGTATTTACAAATATAGATTTTCATCAGAATAAACTACTACAAATTAATATAATATAAGCCTGGTGTACACACAACTGGGCTTACTGAGAAAATGAGATGTGTTTAAAAAATAAGCCTCACCAACAGTTATTTATCCAGAAATGTAATTTATATTTTATTTCCTAAGTGGATTCTAATTCTGAGACTATAGGTTATTGATAAAAATTCAGCATGTTTAATGAGAATATTGTGGGTTTTTTTGTTGATTATTTGTTTTTTGGGAAGCATAAGAAAAGGTAATTCCAAGTATATTTCAAAATGGTCTGGCCATCTTTATGTTGCTAGAGATTGCATCCATAAAAAAAATTATAAGCAAAAAATAGTTTTCACAGGTTTCTGAGATGAATGGAAAGCAGTGAGTTTATTTAGCACATTTCTAAGAAATCCAAATAGGATTCTCTATAGAGAATTTAAGAAAATGAAACAGCGGTTTAAAATTTTTATATGTCTTTTCAAGGGAAATGGAGCTAGGAGTATTCAATGGTAATAGATATTAATTAATTTAAATACAGTTTTGCCATCAGCATCATCATCATTGAAATTTTTAATTTGAACAGATGATTTTCCTCTTTGGTTAATGTATACAATCTATAATATCAGAGATAATGACACTACTTTTTGGGTTTATATCATGCTCTTATCTTTTGACAGAGAATTGAAGTGGGATACTTTATTCACAATTTCTTTCATTATCAGAGTAACTCTCTATCTAAATGTGAGCTGCACTAATGTAGAGAAACCCATTTGCCCCCAAAATACAATACCTGGAAGCGAATATATTTTAAAAGATCAAAATTTTTGGCAAAAATCCTGAAATATTCCAGAAGTTTAGAATTGTGCAGGAAGTTTGGAAAATCTTCAGGCATTGGAAAGTCACTGAAACAGGACATTTCTTTGCTGGTGTTGGTGATGACAGACTGATAGATACTGGCTCGGCCATCTTCCACATTTTCCTAAAGGATCAAATAAAGTAATTAGCGATGATTATGCATTCAAAAAATTCCTTGATTTCCTACTCTTCTTCCTACATCTAACCCTGAGTGATGCGATTGTCTTTCGATGCTGTAGTACGACTGTAATGTTTAGGTGATGAGGTGCAGCCTGTGCACTCCATCATTCTGTGTGATGGGGTCTGCTTATTGCTTACCTGTGTTGCTTACTGGGAGCAATGTTGGCATTGGTGGGGGTGGGCACAATTCTTTTGGCACATTATATGTAGCATCCCAGGTCTCTCTCTGTTTAATATCAGTCTTCGTGACAATCAGTTCCTTTCCTAAATTTCCCCAGGGGAGGCCTCTCACCTGTACCTCTTTAGGAACCAATAAGCGCTGGCACACTGGACAGAGAACATAGTATAGAATTCCAAGGAAAATGAGTATTTTCGGGTGCCTGGAGTTTTCACGTCTTGACTTGATCCCCTCGGTCTTCACTTTATGCTTTACACAAATCAACCTTCTTTAAGCGACAAGGGTGAATGGCACACGCCAATCAAATCTTAAACACGAGTCTAATTGTTACTGAATGTACTTTGGTAAAGCCTGAGGCAGTGCCTGCTATGGTTGAGTTTATAGTTTTCTCTTCAAGTAGTGCCGTGTGTAATGTTCTTTCTATTAAACCACGAAAAGAGCCAAGTATGGTGATTCGGTGTCTTTGACATCAGCATACTACCAAATAGGCTTGTATAAGAAAATTTAAATAATGCTACTCCAGAACTCTTCTATTGATGCTTCTGCATATATAGAGACTAAGGCATAATCCAAGTAAATAGTAGTTGCTTTTTAAACTCAGAATTGGGGCAGATGTAAAGAGATGGAAAGCTTGTAGAAATGCATTACTTGAAATAAATTACTTCGTCTTACATTATCAGGACCATAGTCTCTTCCACAGAGTGGTAACATAAGGAGAGTAAACATTCGCTTCTAATCTAGCCACCACAATAAATCAATCATGCATGTTCATTTCTCATTATTCATAGAAAATCATTACTTTCCTGCCCAATCTTCAGATAAAGGCTCCTTAGGTTTTTGACAATGCTGAACAAGGCAGCCTAGACTAGCAGAAGGAGCTTGGTCTTCAGAGTTAGATTTGAGTTTAAGTCTTTCTTATGCAGACTGTGTGTGAGCCTGGACCATGCCGCGCTCACAGGATTCATTTGAGACTCATAAAAAATGCCCAGAAGATTTTGATTCAGTAGGTCTGGGCTGGTGCCCAGGAATTAACATCTTAAGAAACTCTCTCTGTGTGTTTTATGGTCATATGCATTTGAGAAACCTAATATTAAAAACATCCCTTTTGGTATGAGACTAAGTTTGTATTGGCAAAGCATAGGTCCTAGACGAACTTGCCATTCCTCCAACTGGTGAGTGTGTAGGGAGAGGCCTTTGGATGATCTCTGCTGAAATGAGAGTTTGCTTTTCATGCATTCAAACCTTTTGCTTCCATCTGATTATTCTCAGGTGTTTTTAATATCTCACTTAGATACACCTGATACATGATCCTAAAGTAATTGCTCTTGAGTTCTGAACTTAAACGTTGGTTGAATCCTTTTGAGCAATAATGCAAGTTAGGACATAATTAGAAATAGGGATTTAGCTGTTTTTGGGTCACGTATGCCTAGGTCTGAATGCCAATTCCTCCAGTTGTGTGATCACAGCCAACTCCCTTAACCTCCCTCATTTTCTGTTGGCTCAAGTGTAAAATATATTGTTATTGTTAGTAGTTAACATTTATTGAACTCTATTATAAACCAGGAACTGTTCTAAGTTTTTTACATGAATTACCTCCTTTAATCTTCAAAACAGCACTATAAGATAATCGCACTTTTCTATTATTATCCCCACATGTAACTGACTAAACTGGGACACAGGGGTGTAAGTGACTTGCCCAAGACCTCACAGGTAGGAGGTGGCAAGCTAGTACTCATTCAAAGGTTGTAGGAAGGAATAATTATAAATCTTTATAGCTGTGTGTCTATGTATCTTTCTGATTTTTATGCAAATTGTGAAGGACAGCTAGCATTGTCAATCTTTGGGCTTGACTAATAAAATGAATTTAATTAATAAAACATATTTGGTGAAGAGTTTCACAGCAGTTATAACAAAGCATTACAGATGAGTAAAGTTTAGCAAACAAACAGGGTTCATTTGTCAGGGAAAAACAGTAGTGACAAGGGCTTACTCTCTGAAGAAGCATTTGGCTCAGTGATTGAGACAGGAGTAGCGTCTTGAAAATAATCCATGTTACTTCTATTTTGCAAAGTGTTCTCTAATATCTGTATATTATTAAGTAGTATATTAGAGAATCACAAAAATATGACCTGCAGCAAAATTACTGCATCCAAAAGAAGTGGTCCTTTCCACACCTTGGTTGGCTATCTGGATTGGGATGGCAGTGACCAGGGGAGAGAGGCCAGCCTAAGACTGCAGATCCTGTAGGGCTGCGTAAGTAAATACAAATAAAATCTGATCAAAGTTGCTTAAAAAAATCCCTCAAAAAGGCCCACCAATAGCTATGATTCACCCTGAAATAGCAGCACAAGCTGTCCAAGACATAAAAAATCTCACTTACTTTGAACCTCCACAGCCCCCCGATATCTTCTGTCCTCTCGAAGCAAGTGGGCTCCAGGCCCTCGTCCACACAGCACTTCAGAGAGATCAGGCCGCTGACCCCTGCTCCGATCACTGCCACCTTTTTTGCCATCGGCTTCTGCCAAGGAGTGGATCAATCAATGCTGCTTCGCTGGGACAAAAGGTAAGAGAATCCTTATGGGATGATCAGGTCATTGGTTGTAAACACTGCAGCAGTGGCAATTTAATTAGCAGCACTCACTGGATAAAATGCCAGGCAAACCCCAGTCTCTTCTTCCCCTTGAGAAAAGCCAAGCTGTCTTATGGACTTTGCTGCAGACCTTGTTTACAACATCTTGGTTTAATGTTTAAAAGCAACCCATTAAACAAAGCCAAACTATTTAATAAGAAAGCATGGTAGGGATGTGAGCCAAATCTCCGGTCAGAGTTCGGAGCTTTCTCTTTCCAGCTTCTTTCCTCAGCTGTCATCCTTACCTTTGTTTCTGCCTTTTGGCACCGTCCCTTTGACAGGATGGTTTTCTCCCTGGGTTGTGCGCTAGGAGGAGGTCAGAAATGTTTTTGAGAGTTGGAGGTGGCTGTGAGAAATGGGAGGGGCTTCTTATTCCTTCAGCATTGTGCCAGCTGGAACGTCAAACACTCTCAGGAATCCTAAAATAAAGAAAGGGATTCATGCTCTGAGGTCAAGAGTAACAATGGAATGTCTTTATAGTAACAACAGATTCTACAGCATAGGTAGTTTAAAAATCCTTTTTATAATGAGGTAATAAATGTTCATTAACAATTGAGCAAATACAGATAAATAAAAAGAAGTGACAATTACCATTAATCTCACCACCCAGAAATAATTACCATTGATATTTTTTGGTATATCCTTTCACCTAATTGATATATATACACATACACAAGCAAAAAATGGAATCCTAGTCTAAATATAATTGCCAACTTGATTTTTCACTTTCCAGTATATAAATACCTTTGTATGCATAGCATCATTTCTCACGGTTGCATGGATTTCATTTAGTAGATGGTATTGTCATCCATCTAACAAATATTCATTTCTAAGCGGTAGGCACTATTTCTGGCGTAGCAGTGTGCCCGGATGAACAAGACAGATTTTGTTCTGGCCTGGCTCGCTCAGACTTGGTGATTTCCGGGTTCTAGTGTCCTGTGGTTACCTGTTCCTAGATTGCTCGTCCTGCCCAGGCCCATATCTTATCTTGGTTTTTCTGCTGTGTGTATGCTGGCTTGGATGACCCTAGTGGGACTTCTAAGGTCTTCCTATCCACTGCCTTCTTTCTGGTTTGACATAGAACTGGATGACTTACCTTTGCTTACAATCTCAGTTACCAGCATTAACATTTATTAGAAAACTAAATTAGGAGACTATAAGGCCCTTGTAAACCTTAGACATAGTCTACATGATGGAGGTAAAGGACTCAATTCCCCAACCCAACAAGGCCAGAGGCTCTCAAGACACTGAGATGTTTTATATACATTCATTCAACAAATATTTATTGAAGACTTCCTAGGTGCCAGACACTTTCTAAGTCCTGCAACTTTCTAGGTAATGAACAAGAGACAAAACTCCCTGCCCTTGTGGAGCTTGCTTTCTAGTGGAGAGAGCCAGATAATCAATGAATCAAATAAAATAATGAGAGGTATGGAGAAAAAAAGGAAGCAGGGAAGGGAGCTCGGGAGTGTAGGAATGAAGGGTTATTTTATAATGTTAAATAAGGTGTTTGGGGAAACATCATTTTCCCTGGAATTTCCCAAACTGAATTTGGTCGTGATAAAAGGCTTTCTCTGTCTAATAAATAGAGCAACTCTGTGACAAGAGTAACTGACCACAACAAAAGTGATGATCAATGGTTAAGGAACAAAAGAGCTGAACACATTTCTCAATTAAAAAGAAAAAAAAAAGCAAGCTTCTTTGTCAACAACTGGGTCACAAATTTTGCAAATAGCCTGTGAAAAATTATCCAACTGTATCTTCATATCTCTTCTCTAATTAGTTATGATATCAGTGGAAGCCCTATTGGAAATAACTAACTCTGACCGTCATACAGAGAAAGCAAAATACCTAGATATGCTAGCAAATTTGTTAACTGAATCCATGGCAGATGACAGAGGTAGATGGCCTGGTTCTCCCCAGAGACAACCTATGTGGAGATATTAATGCCTTCTTGTGCCAAACAAGTGTTATGTCTGAGACACCTTTGTCCACAACAGCACCCATCAGATGAGGAGCAGGTATCTTCTTGGCACCAGTATCAGCTGAGAAGGTTGCACTACAGAGGTAGCCCTGGCTGGCAAATGGTACTTAGGTGTACACCAAGGACCAACAAGCTTCCCAAAAGAATTCCGTGTAGTTGATGGTTTCCTAAGCTTGTCGGTCCTTGGCATTCCTGAGTATATGCACAAATGAACCATAAAGCACCTGGCCAATTTTCCATTAGTAAAACTTTAAGTTCTTTCAAAGATTTTGCTTTTATAAAAATGCTGTGTACTTTATGTATATTTTTTCTGCACTTATCTAATCATTTCCTCAAGATAAACACCTAAAGCAGGAATTGCTGAGTGAAAGTGTTTGCACATTTTTAAGTCTACAGTGCTCTTCAGACTCTAATGGACATATGAAACACTTGGCAATCTTGTCAAAATGCAGATGGAGATTTTGTAGATATGGAGTGGACCTGAGATACTTTATTTCTAACAAACTTCCAAGAAATGCCAGGTATGTTCTTAGGCCACATTTTGAGTTGCAAGTTTCTAATATGCTTTGCAAAGTTGTCTTCTAGGAAGCAGATGCATTTTAATAGTATTTAATTTTACAAAGTCTGTTAAATTGTAAAACTACTTTCACATACATAAATTCATTTTACTAGTTCAGGACTATAGGTAATGTTATCCATTCCTGTTTTATGGATGTGAAAACAAGCTTGGTTTGGCTACCAGAGAGTTTAAGAATAGCCAGCATGGCAATAGCTTCTTAAAACCTTGTCACATAAAGAGCCACTGAAGAGACTTTCGATGTTTAGCCTAGAGCACACATGTTGAAAAGTGCATAATAATTACCTTCAAGAAGGCTGCTCTATGGAAAAGATCATACAAGGCCTATTTTGGGTAGAAACAAGTCTATTTAGGACCATATATGTGAATGTTACAGAAAAACTGAATTTGCCTCAGTATAAGGAAGAACTTTCTAGCCAACAATGCTGTACAAATACAGAGCGAGGTGTTTTGTAAGGTAGTGAACTATTGTTGTAAGTGCTCAAATAGAGGCTGGATCACCACTTGTTAGTAGATAATGAAGGGATTGAAGCAGCATGTGAGAGGGGAGTAATGTCACTAACTACAAGAGTTTCAGGCCTGAGATCTGAAATCTTATCATTATCACTTAAAAAATTTTTTTTTATGTACACGCCATGGAATACTATCAGTTATAGTTTTAAGATAGGTGCAAAGATGCTGAGAAGACTTTGGCTTGGATTTGAAAGTACCCTGGATACTAAGAGGGTGTTGACCTTTTCCATCCATTCACATGATTGGGGTCCCATAGTCACCCCCTGACCCATTGTTGGAAGAGTCCAGGCTCCTTTAACTGTGGATGGATACTTCCACGAGAACAAAGTACACATCAGCCCTGGTATCTCCTTGTCCATTTTTAACTTTCTGTTACATATTTCAACAGAAAACTTCTTAAACCATGTGGCACTGTCTGAGGAGCATAGAGCCATGAAGACAAGTTCTCTCATTAAGTTGCTTTAGAACTTAGACAAATGAAAATACACACTGGCCTTCATAAATCCCTTCACCGTGATTTGAGTTTTTCTGTTTGGATGAACTCATTTGTACCTCCTGTATGATGTATATAGTTCTGTCACTTCTATGCGCCTGATATTTTCTGGGGCAGCTCTTTTTCAAAATAATCCCCTGGAGCTTTTTAATCAAGAGAGTGAACTGAGAAAGCACATTTACCACCCCTTTCAAAACTCTCATCATAATAGCGAGAAAGTCACACAAAAGGAATAAATCTATGACAGCACTGAGAAAGTGAAATTTTATATGTACCAGATTTTTAAAAAGCAGTTTTATTGAGACATAATTCATATAATATAAAATGTACCCATTTGAAGTGTGAAATTCAAGGATTTTTAGTATATTGGTGATGGTTGTGCAACCATCACCACAATAAATTTTAGAACATTTTCATCACCCCCAAAAGATTCCTGTATGTATTAAGTTACTCCCCACTGTCCTTCAATCTTTTCCTACCCTCAGCCCTACACAGCCACTAATTTACTTTCCATTTCTATGGATCTGCCTATTCTGAAATTTCATTTAAACATATGGTTTTTTGGTGACTGAGACCTTTGACTTAGCATAATATTTTCAAGGTTCATCCATATTGTAGCATGTATCAGTGTTTTGTTTCTTTTTATTGTGGAATAATATTTCATTGTATGGATACCATATTTTATTTATCCATCTGTCAGTTGATAGACATTTGGGGTTGTTTCTACTTTTTGGCTATCATGAGTAATGCTGCTATCTACATTCATGTGTAGGTTTTAGTGTGGACGTGGGTTTTCATTTCTCTTGGATAAATACCTAGGAGTGAAATTGCTGGGTCATATGGTAACTCTATGTTTAGCATTTTGAGGAACCGCCAAACTGTTTCCAAAGCAGTTGTAATATTTTATTTTCCCACCAACAATGTATGAGAGTTTCAATTTCTCCATGACATCTCCAACATTTGTTATTATCTGCCTTTTTTGTTATAGTCATCCTAGTGGACGTGAAGTGGCATTGCATAGTGGTCTTGATTTGCATTTTCCTAGTGGCTAATGATGATGAGCATCTTTTAATACACCTGTTGGCCATTTGTATATCTTCTTTGGAAATGACTATTCAGATCCTTTGCCCATTTTGTCTTCTAATTGTTGAGTTGTGAGAGTTCTTTATTCTAGATTTAAGTCCTTTATCATATACAATATTTTTTCTCATTCTGGGGTTTATCTTTTAACTTTCTTGATGATGTGCTTTGAAGCACAAAAGTTTTAATTTTGATAAAAGGCAATTTATCTATTTTTTCTTTTGTTTATACTTTTGGCATCATATCTAAGAAGTCTTTGCTATCTGTAGAATAGATTTTGGTGAAATTTCTGAAAGATAGAATTTGCATGAGATCATCTTGACAAACCAGAGTAGGATCCATGGTCTAGAAGAGATGGGAGAAGCCTGGAGCAGAGACAGGAGGTGTTCTTACCAGTAGAGGCTGTGAGAGGCTCATAATCTCCATCACTTTTGTGTCACTTATCATTTACTAGGCATTGTCTAAGTTTTACCTAAATTAGCTTGCTTGTTACCACAACCTTATGAGAGAGTAAATCTTGTTATTAAGAAAGTTGATACATAGAAGAACTAAAATGCTGAAAATCACGCAGAAGGGGATTTTGAATTTAGGTCATCTAATTACACAGGGCGAGCTTTTAATTATTGCATCAAACAAACTCAGAGGTGGCACGTGTGGGGAGAGGAGTGTGTTGTAGATTAATCAAGGTAATTAAGTAAATGAGAGCC